CCCCCAGGACCTGTCCTTAGTCCCTAGGACCCATTCCTGGCCCCCAGCACCTGTCCTTAGCCCCCAGGACCCACTCCTGGCCCCCAGGACTGTCCTTAGTCCCCAGGACTGTCCTTAGCCCCCCAGGACCTGTCCTTAGTCCCCAGCACTGTCCTTAGCCCCCAGCACCTGCTGAGAGAACCTTGAGCCACCTGCTAAGTCACCTGGAAGTGGAAGATCCCAGCATAGTTTTCCTGGAAACTCTGGTTTAGGGGGACAACTCGGGCCAGGATCTCTTCGTTCAAGGTGAGGGAAGCGATGGCCGCCAGCAGCCAGCAGTCACCTGTGAACACAGCACAGAGCTCCAAGCAGGGGTCTCAGTACCAGGAGGACATCAGACACCATGTGCCCCCTCTGGGAGCTTGAAGCCAAGGACGGGCCGGTGTGGACAGTCCCCACTGAGGGGCAGTTTGGAGGGGGGAAGCCCTCCCAGCCCGGCCCCCGCCCCGGCCCCCTCTGGTGTGAGGACGCAGACGCTTGTGGGAGCGCGGGACTCACCGCTGGGCTTGGGCAGCAGAGGACAGGGCAGCGGGGGGAGACAGAGGGACGGGGTCGGGTGGGGAGGCGGGGCTGGCAGGTCGTGAGTGGGGCAGGTGTGGGTGCCTGGCTGGAGCGGGCGCGGGGGCCGAGGGCACATGGCAGTCACTTCTGCAGCGTGGGAGGGCACCGTGCGGGACACAAGAGTGGGGACGGTGGGACGGGCCCCTCCTGTGGCCCACGGGTGACCGAGGCGTCACGGGAGCACGTGCGCGAGCTGCCACACACCCGGCACCCATGGCAGGTGCTCGGCACACAAGCACTGCGACCGTCCTACGTGGTCGGCTGCGACAGTGCGTGGTGGGGGCTCACATTCTCCCCCAAAGGCCGCGGCCGGCTGACCCTCCTCCTACAGGCGTGGGCGCGCTCCTGCCCCCTCCCAGGACAGTGACAGGAGCAGCCTGGGAGGGGGATACGGGCTGGACAGTGACAGGAGCAGCCCGTGGAGAATGCGCCCTGACGGTTCTTCGACGAGACTCTCCCGCTGGCGCTCGGAAGTGACGGCGTGCCAGCGGCTCTGCAGGGAGTGTCCGCCACCAATGGGAGGCAAATGCACCCTCTTGCTCCTTTGGGTGGCGGTGTGGGGGTGCTGGGGACCTCATGGCCACCGCTCTCCTCCTGGGAGCCCGCGTCCCTCTGAGAACCCAGCTGCCCTGCACGCTCAGTCTGCGAGGTGTTGGAAGTGCAGACCCTGCCCCGATTCCAGGAGGCGGCCCGGCTGAGGAGGTCGGCTCGGGAAACGTGCCTTGACCTTCACTGGTACGTCGGTGAGAGTGGACAGGTGCCCCGTGAGTCTGCTCAGTGACGTACAGTCTGCTGCTGCTGTGGGACGGGCAGTCTAAGAACCAGGCCAACTCGGAGGAAGAGGGGCCGGGGATGGAAAGTCCTGCCAGCGGCCCTGCAGACCCTGGATCAAGCCGTACCTGCAGCCCAACCTGCCTTGGACTTTCCTGGCACATGAGTTGATCACCCCCGTTTCCCTGAGCACCAGGGCAGCTGAGACCCTCCTATGTGCCAGCCACTCCCCAGGAGCCACAGGGCCATTGCCACATCTGTGGAAGCCTGGACGTGCCTGTGACTCTCACTCTTCTTGAGCGAGCGTGAGATTTTCTGGGACTCTCCGCGGTGCTTGAATTGGGTCTGTCGACACGTGGAGGCAGACGGGCTCGTGGACAGCAGGGGCCCACGTGTGGGGAGCCCAGGGACCGAAGCCAGAGCTCCCACATTTCCCGCACATCCCCCTCGAGTCCCTGAGCCCCCTTAGACGAGCCGCCGGGTCTGTGCGACTGGGGACTCAGGGTGGCCGCCGGGCCCCGAGGGGCAGGGCCGCTCAGAGGTCCCGGCTGACAGCGCTCTGTTCTGGGACGTGACTGGGTGCAGGGAGGACTGGCTCCAGGTGACCGGGCTGCCTTTTGGTGTCTGTAGCCTGACAACTAGGTCAGTGCTGACCACATACCCAGCTCAGGTTACCACTCGCCACCAGATCTGGAGGCTCTTGCCACATCCCGGGAATCAGTGGCCGTGTTCCGTGGCTTCTGGTTTTCTTCCTCCAGGTCTCCCCTGGCCACCCTGGGGGGGAGCAAGGCCCCAGTGCCCCCTGCCCTCTGCGCTCTTATGCCGGGCTATTCCGATCTAGCTGGTCTCCTCCGGAAGGGTGTGTCAACCCAGAGTGTTTTCTAGACGGCAGACCTGCGGCTTTAAGAGGCCGACTTCCTTGCTTCAGGTCACACGTCTGGAAGGTCCCAGAAGATCCGCAGGGGGCAGAGAGGCTCCCCTTCCAGTTCAGGCTCTTAACGGCAGTGAGCAGCGAGCGCAGTCAGCATTCTGGATCAGTGCAGTTTACAGAGAACTTGCTGCACCGTTTATGTGTAAGTCTTACGGGGCGATTACCCATGTAAGCGTCACATTTGGGGATGAAGAAACCGAAGCTCGGGGGCCTGTATACCAGACAGCCAGGCGGTCTCGAAAGCAAATCCTCTAAATCAAATCCCAGGTTTTGTTTAAAACCCGAGCCTTGCCAGAGATTTCTTTTGGTTAAGAGGGTCTGATCCCTTTAATGCAGGAGAGACCACAATAGAAATACCCAACCGCAGCCTAAACTTAAAACTATGGGGTAACAAGCCAGCAGCTCCCTGAAATCCTACATCGTATCTTAACACCTGACACCACGCGCCCGTGAGATCCTGAAATGCGTCGCCTGCCCGCTGCAGCGTAAGTCACGAAGGCCACGGGACGGTGGCCTGTCATGACACCTTCCAGACAACAGCACCAGGAGCACAGCAAACAGGAGGAAACAGGTCAGAGCATTTCACAGCTGAAGACCTGAAACGCCTCTCATCAGGGGACCCACTAGGGGACCCACGTGGGACCAGGACAGCGGAGTGGCCATCCAAAACATAAAAATCAAGTTCTAGCTCATCTTGTCACAGGAATACATTCTAAATGGAATAATGCTCACATTGTAAGTATGTATTTTAATACGATTTTGACGTAGTTGATATGTCAATATGGTAAATCGAGCCATTTGTTTTAAGGTTTATTTATTTTTGAGAGAGAGACAGAGAGAGACAGAGCGTGAGAGGCGGAGGGGCAGAGAGAGAAGGAGTCACAGAATCCGAAGCAGGCGCCAGGCTCCGCGCTGTCAGCACAGAGCCCGACGCGGGGCTCGAACTCACGAACTGTGAATCATGACCTGAGGTGAAGTCGATGCTCAACCGACTGAGCCACCCAGGCACCCCAACGAGCCATTTGTTTTATTTATATATTTATTGCCTATGTATTTATACCATATATTTAAAAAAAAATTTTAACGTTTGTTCATTTTTGAGTGAGACAGAGCGTAAGCAGGGAGCGGCAGAGAGAGAGGGAGACAGAATCTGAAGCAGGCTCCGGGCTCTGACTGCCAGCACAGAGCCCGACATGGGGCTCGAACTCACAAACCTCAAGATCATGACCTGAGCTGAAGTAAGACGCTCAACCAACTGAACACCCAGGCGCCCCTACAAACACAATATTTTTATAAATCCATCGACATTCTGGAAAAGACAACAGGAGAATTCCAGTGAAGACATGTTATTGACTTGTAACCTGGAAGCCATAAGCTTTTTTCTTTAAAGAGTTTTTTATTTTTTTAAGTCATCTCCACCTCCAACGCGGGGCTTGGACTCATGAACAAGAGCCATGCGCTCCAACAGAGCCAGCAGGCGCCCCTGAAGCCATAAACTTTTTATGTGACACATTTAACGACACTAAAGTAAAAAGAAAAAAGTCTACATGGTAAAAATATCATGATCAAGTCAAACTAAGAAAGTAACAAGGAAAAACATCTATTATTCAGATCCCAGACGAGACGTTATATAGAAAGATTTCTAGTAAATGACGACATGAGAGCTCCATAGAAAAATGGACAAAGAGGGGCGCCTGGGTGGCGCAGTCGGTTAAGCGTCCGACTTCAGCCAGGTCACGATCTCGCGGTCCGTGAGTTCGAGCCCCGCGTCAGGCTCTGGGCTGATGGCTCAGAGCCTGGAGCCTGTTTCCGATTCTGTGTCTCCCTCTCTCTCTGACCCTCCCCCGTTCATGCTCTGTCTCTCTCTGTCCCAAAAATAAATAAACGTTGAAAAAAAAATTAAAAAAAAAAAGAAAAATGGACAAAGATCTAAGCCGTTGACGGAGAAAGGAAAAACCAGCGTCTCAGCCATATTCAGGGCGCCTGGCCGGCTCAGTTGGTGGAGCAGTGGCTGTTGATTTTGGGGTCGTGAGTTTGAGCCCCACACTGGGCACAGAGATCATTACAAAAAATTTAAAAACCCCGAATGTTGAAGGGTGCTCCCGTCACTCGTCATAAAAGAAATATAAAGGGAAGTTCCCCTGAAGCACTTCCACCTCTCAGATCGCACAGTAAGGTCGTGTGGTCCCGGAGGGGCCGGGGGAGACCCACTCACGCCTGTCCATGAGCAGTCACACCACGCGGAGCGCGTGCCCCCGGAATCCCAGGTGCAGGAGTCGTCCACGGACACGCTCACGTGAACCAAGGACGGTGATAAGTCATTTCCTAGAGCCCTGGTCATCCGTCCACAGAGCGGAATGACGATGTTCTCTGGGGACACAGAGCAGCCTCCGAGAGGTCGCGTAAACCAGAGCAGGGCACAGAACGTGCATAGGACACGCCAGGAAAGGGAAAAAGGCAGGTGGCAGAGAAGGTGGGGGAGCGCCGTGGGTCCCTCTGTAGGTCCCGTCTTCACAAACTGAAGGTATTTCTGGATGACTGTTGTATGTGTCCTTTGACATAAACGCTAGGGACGTTTTGACGCCCTCAACGGATTAGCTGGTCATGTCATCCCTTAGAGTAAGGAGAAAAATCGCTTACTATCGTTCTTCTAAATGGAAATTATTTCCGGTCGAGGCCTCCCGTGAGAACCGGTCAACCGTCGGCAAGAACAGCTAATCAGTTCGCCTCCTCCTGGGCCCCCAACGTGTATTCTGTTGAGAAGTTACCAGGTATTCCTTGAGAAAGGGTTCCTGCGGTCAAGTGCATTTCCACAGGACGGGCAAAGCTAACCAGGTCAAGAGTGGAGGCTGCTTAGAGCTTTCCGGTAATTCTATGGGGTCAGGGGAGAGGGGTGCAATGCACTTCCCACGTCTCCGACCCCGGAACCTTCTGGCTTGCTTGGGGAGGGCGCGTCGGCTGCCGGCCCACCCGGGCAGGGTCCCTGGACCGGGCCCCTCAGAACCAGCTCCTCCTGGGGG